ATCTTAGAGGTCTTTTCCAACCTTAATGATTCTATGATTGTATAGGCTGAAATCTTTTTTTCTAAGAGCAAAGGCCAAAATTACTAGCGAGCAGCTTAGTTTATAATCAGATCTGCTGCTACTTCCCATAGTAACCTGTTCTGATTAGAAGAAACTTACTTGGAAAATGATGCCTGAAACAGCATTCATTCTGCAGTACAGCAGTGCATATCATGACTTATTCTGTATTTAAGCTGAGGTCTGCAAATACCAAATCAAGGTGTTCTTTTTTTTTTTTGCTGCCACGCTATTCTGCTAGAACAGGAAGCCACCATTTTAAACTAAGTATTAAGCAAACCTGGCAACCAGTTTCTCAAATATCTTATCAAGTGTTGCAAGAACTGCTTTCCTGTTGCTGTCAATACCCATGAGTTGATTGCCAAGCCCATTACCAAAAAGCCATGTTTATTGTGGATGAGTGACTTCTCTGCTAACTGAAATGAATTTAACCTGAAACAACCACTTCTCCATGATGTAAATGATAAAACTCCCAAAACATTGTCTTATGGACCAGGCAACAAAGGAATTCAACTGGCCTTTTTTTAAATGACAACATAAACAGTGAGTAGTAATGCTGTGCATTAGTGCTACATGGATCTGAGCTAAAGTTTTAATTCTAAACTCTAGGTTAATCATTCTGGCATTGGAATTTCTAAAATTGTTTCAGTTCTTTCATTAGTTGTGTGTACCAGAAAGACAAGTAACCACTATGCAAGCACAAAGGCAAAAATCTGCAAGTTGCATGGGAATTATACCCTGTTCCATCAAGACCCTCTTTTCCTCCTCCTCTCACTCCACACAATTTAAACTTGCAGATCCTTTTTCAAACAGTGCTTCTTCACATACAAAGACACCATACTCCATAGCAGTAAGGAATTTTGTGTGCGTATACGCACGTGCACACACATATTCTCCTCCCTCCCATAGCGGGGCAAGACAGGGATAAACACAACAAGCAGAAATGGTATTAAAGACTGCCCTCAACTACTTCTATGTATTTACGTATGAATAAATGGTATTGCAAGAAGCAGATATCCTGAGATTCTAAACACAAACTTTTCCCATCTGTGAGGTTTTTTTGTTGTTGCAGATGTGTGTGCAATTTTGCTTTCACAGTTAATTTCTTTTTTTCAGTATTTGTACTGGGCAGACTTGGCTGTGAGGACAGCCCGAGATACACCTCAAGTTTCTGACTACCTTTAAAGACCACCCTCCTAGTTACAAATAGCACTAAGTATGCACTGACACCCATGGGAAATTCTTTTTCTCCCACAAACAGAAACTAACTTGCCTGTTTTCAAAGACGACATTAACTGCTAGATTCCAAAACTGAGCAACAATGCTAATCAGCCTCATTTCTTTGAAATAAATGGCATGTCACATTGTTTTTCACTTGACAAATACCATTGCCAGTAGCATACTGACCTTGCCAGCAATGCTGTTGGCAGCACGTCATTCAGATTTACTTTACCTTGTGATAAAACATTCACTGTAATATGCTACAAGCCACACTTCAGAGATTCTTGGACAGGATCTTAGAATACTGCCTCCAGGCTGCTTACTGGTGAAGTCAAATATTTCAGATTAATCTATCACTGCTGACCTGAATTTGCACTGTATTTTCTGAACGCTGCTATGCCTGGGGGTCTGCTGACTGAGGTAAAAAACAGGACCCAGACCCACATTTTGTTTTGTCTCAAGACTCTGACTAAGCAGTCAGGAGGTAAGGCCCCCCTTGGGAGAGCAGCAGAGCTGTGGCTCAACTGCGTGGGAACCTCCCTCCGGTCTTTAACAGCCATCAGCAATGAACTGCTAGCCCAGACCCAGGGACTAAGACTCCACGTACACAGTCGTATCTGTCACAGAGCTGTCATTGAACAATCATATCCTTGTTGATGCACAATTGCCTGGCTCAGCTAAATGATCTAAACCAAACAGTGAAGCAGTTCCCACGCTGACAGAGCCTGCTGGAGAGGAAAAGTAGGTTATAACCTGACTGCTTTATATCCATGTTCTCATGCCACCACGGTCCTTTACTCTAAGACCAGGAAAGCAGTGTTTCAGCATGGGCGGGGAAAGAATCACTGACACCTGCTGGGCATTTTTAATACAAATCTTTATTTGTGAAATACAGGAAAAGTTCAGAAAAAGCGCACGTATCTGCCCTCGATCATCCACATTTTACTGCTGCTTTTGTTCTTGCTCCAACTGAGTATTCATTTATATGCAGGCCAGACTAGATTAGGTTTGTGTTCATTCCAACATCAGAATGAAAGTGCAACTTTATTGGGAGAGCAGCATAAAGTACAGAGCTGTTTGTCAGTAGAAAGGAAGAAAAAAAGGCATCTTTAGTGACATGTGTTCAGGCATTTGCCCGTCCGAAGACAAAATGAACCAAAGAAATTCAGGATACATTTTGCCTTTAGATACAGGCAGGTTAGTGGAAAACCTGCATATGACTCCAACAACAAAGGCTGGCCCCAACTCAGTTAAATTGATGGCGACATCACAGTTTGGCAACAAACAATTTGCATTCTAGTATGCATGGAATATAAAAAAACCCCACAGAATACTCAATATACCACACATGCACCAACGTCAACACATTGTCAGGTTTCTAGCAAACGTATGTCTGTGAGGGAACAAAAAGAAAGAAACACATATTAAGGGGGAGAATGCTAATACTGTATCCAACTATAAGAGCTAAAATTAACCTGACCACATTTAGACAACCATAGCACGGCTCTTTTATACTGCAGTTACAGCATGGAAGACAGGAGTAAGATGACAGTAATAGCTTTGACAGAGCCCCAACATTCAACTATGTCAATCAAAAATGTGAAACACATTCTTAGCCATAATATGTGTGTGTGATAAATCATATCTGGTTCATACCTTAAGTCATTGCAATTCCAGCACTACCACTACAATATTGATTTCAACATGCTCAAACTGTTTAACAAGACTCTAAAGAAATTTGGAGGACATTCCCCTTCCTCACACAAAAAAAAACCCCACCTTCAAAAAAACCCTTCAGATCTGCCTGCAGGTTTTGTTAGCTATGTGCTATTTAATTCCTTCTCTTATCCTACTTTTACTAAGCAAGGCCAGGATGCTGCAGTTTCATTACATACAGCATATTCTCAGTAGTCTATCAGCCTCTGTGAGCAAAATACAAGGCTAAAGCAATATAGTTAGAACAAGCAGCCTACCACAGAACTGCACCGCACTATGCAACAATGGTTTAGGCTATGGCAAAGACCACCACCACCAGGAGATTTGTATTTCAGTTATATCACCTATGTAGTGCTGATGACCACACGTGCCATAGGCACGGGGGCAGGAGTGGGGGGAAGCCTCCCAGCTCCTATGCAGGCTAACTTCACTGTGACAGCTGAGAGATCAGCTGAAAGCATGTGGTCAAATACTATATGAAAATGCTGAACACAACAGGGCTATTAAAAAAAAAAAAAAAGAGTTGTACCCTGAATTGTTGCTGAAGAATGCCTAAAAAATAGCTGCTGAGTAGGACTCCACAGTAGCATCAGTAACCAAAAATGTTTCATGTTCATCTGAGAAGCATGGTTATAACTACAAATGGCTTACCTCCTCATGACTGCAGCACAATCCACACAGTCCTCCAAGAATGCCATTGATTATCTGTATGAAGCACAGAATGAACTCTATTCCTCCCAAGACAAGGAGGATGGAAAAGAGAGTGACGTTCCACTGCACGATGTTTTGAGGTTCTTGACATTCAGACCACTTGTTATACTCAAACAAGTACCTGTACACAGCAATTAAAAGCATATTAACATTGTGACAGAGTAGGACGCTTACCATACACCAGAACCAGATTACATCTAGTCTGTAACTGCATCAAGGATAATCACTCTAAATGGGAACAGAAAATACAACGGTTTATTCCATGCAAAGTTTGCTCTGTTTAAGAACGCGTTGAACTATCAACCATACATGTTAAGTCTTAATTTCTTTAAAAAAAAAAATCTAAGCTATAAAGGCAGAATCTCCTATTACTGGTTAAAGCGAGACACAAGCTCAGGAAAGCTGAAAGAGCAAAGCTATTTCTCAAAACCACCACAGTTTTTCAGGACTGGACCTTTATTCTAAAGACAGTAATTACTGATCTGAAGCAAATGGGTCACTTCCTCTCCTGTGCTGCTGTCTTCAGGCCCTCACATGCCTACTCTGGAAGAGCCAAACACAGAACAAATTTAGAGGAGTACGGCAGTATTCCAGCTGCTAATCCTCACCCACATCTTCAGAACATCAGCACAGATGAGCCTTCAGCAAGGACTTAACTCAGTTCTTCTATATTCAGTCATAGTTGGGGGGGGATGGGGGATGAGGAATGCCCCCTCTTGGGAGAGGTGCGACTGAAATGTAAAATTCAAACTCTCTGCTGCAAAGGATCTTTATGTGGCTTCTTAGTACTCAAACTGACTGTAGTCTGGCATCAGGCATAAACTGTTTCTAGAAACAGCCTCGAGGTTGCCAGCCATACAGACACTGTAAAAGCATGTCATGATCCAAACCGAATCCTCTTCCAACCTACAGGATTTGTGGGAATTAATGGGGAATAGCATACAACTCAGCTACATAGGCTTGGTTTGCTGGAGAACCCTAATTAGGGATAATTAAGAGCTTCTGGCCCTCCCCGCCCTGCAGTGTACAAAGACTCTTATAAACCTTTTCTAGTTTCATTTACAAAAGGTTCTATGCCATTGTCACTAATGAATGTATTATGCCAGATTACACTGACGGAAGGCAACTTCAGAAGCAAGCCTCACAAAACAGATTCTTACACAAACGATAAGACAAATTTCATAACAACCGCTATTCATAGTTTGTAAATCCCTCAAAGTCCTAAAACTTTGTTAGAGATGTTCATGGACATGAACAGCATGTAGTATACAGATATTATTACCTCTCTATATATATTCAGATCCCTTTTTGTAGGATGGGATTTGTATTGCTTTGGTTTTAAACTACAGCAGTGTGGGTAACTGACGCCATCTGTTTCGTTCTTCGTGAGTGAGAAGCATAAACTTATGAATGGATCTTGGTATCTAGTTACTGGATATTGCTGAAAGGTACTGGAATAAAGACCATGTGTACATGGGGGAAGATATAACATCCTCATAAACAGACAACTTACCCTCCAGAGGATTCAGTGAAAGGATAGATCCAGTTTCTTTGCAGGTGAGTAAAACAATATGGTCCATGAGACAAGCCCAGTGCTGAAATGATTATACAGTATCCAGAACCAAGGATCCCAACAAAGGCTGCCAGAACTGAGGACAGCATCTGCACAGCAAACAGACATGAACTTTCCACACAGCCATCACCTTGTCTTTGGGATTATCTGGGACTGGAGCGTAAAGGCTCACTTACCGCACAGCTTTTCCCACAGTCCTTATGGCCAAAGCACCCACAGCAGTCATCATTGTGAAGCCCAATGAATACTGCAGCTGGAATGAGTACCTAGGTACGGAGCAAACATACGACACTGTTCTATTTTGTTGCACAGACAGAGCAGATAAAACACAGTCCTCACACTGCATTCATTTGTATTGTTTCTTGGCAGGGGAGTGGGGGACAACCTGTATAGATTATTCAGTTTTACTCCTATTTAACACAGCAGGCATCTTGCTACTGATATCAGCAGCACCACACCAGAGTAGGTATATTTCTATTTCCGCTTTGTGTATACACAGCGCTTGAGTGCATAGAGAGCCTGTCAATAAAGAGCCTGCTGTGGTATTGCTGCAATTTAAAGTACTTCAACTTTAAAAAGTTTTTGTTCACATTAAAGGCTGTACCCTGCAAATAAAATGCTTTGCAAAAAAATGCATTCATTTTCTGCCAAATAAGGACTACAAGATAAGTATCTCAATTATTTTGTTAAAAAAAATAACTACTACCAACATATTAGTTACTGAAGAGTAGTCATCACTGCCTGTGTGACAAACCAGTTTGACTAGAGTAGAAAGCCTAGGAATATTTTGCCCAATTCAGGCAAACATCTCATTACAGACATCTAGCCTTTTCTAGGTTTTCACAACCAGTTTCCAGTGACAGAAATGCAAAGTAACAAAGCAGAAGCTATCTGTAAGAAACATAAGTCATCCATACTCCAGAGCTTTTAGCACAAAACCAAGAAGGAGCAGAGTTGATTAAACAGAGTATCCTCCCCACCAGCACTAACAGGACTTAATAGTTTGCACTTATAAAGGCTCTACACCCAAGAGTACTTAGGAAAACCATGAAGAACAAGCAAAGTGTTATCTGCAAATTGCAGATATTTACTTAACAAGACACTAAAATAAAAATTACCCAGTTGACCAGTCACATACTTGTCAGCCCTTATCAAACCTATTGCTGAGCCCCAATGCTGCAGGTCCAGAAGAGGTTGTACAAGTGTGTTCCAGGAACAGTTCCATTGATTTCACTTGTATTATTCTGTGTGTAAAGCCCAGTCTTTGCAAATCCCAGTCTAGGTTCCAATGGGGCTGTAACACAGCTGTAAGCACCTCTCACAAGACAGAGGGCCTTAGCATGCAATAATTTTCAACCTGTGATATGCAGACATCTTCAGATCTGTAGCCTATTTCTAAGAGGACTTTTAAAAGCAAATGAAAAAGGAAGTCTGGAGTCAGGGAACTTAAATATGCTACAATGTGGTTCACAAAATTAAAAAGGTAGAAAATAATAGCTTCAGATTAACAACATCCTACAACAAACGCACTCAATTCTTCATCCTTTGCTGTTACTCCAATGCAAAGCTTTGATAACTGCCACTCGATTCCTCTGAATAAAGAGCTAAGGCAGAGAAATAACTGTCAACATCTCAGATAATAGAAATTAAGGAATTGTAACTAAATGCTAGTTATCTAGGGACATTTAAAAGGAGAACAGTCCAATAATATAACAAAAATGTAATATTTAACCCTTTATACAAACCGTGACCTGCTGAGAGGCTTGGTTCCAGTTTTGCATTTGGATTCTGCAACCTAGACCCTACAATTTTCTCAGGTCTGAAGTGACATAGTGTTGCAGATAAGATAACCAATAGCAAATCATAATACCTATGGGGTCATATAGCTAATTTCTTTTGATACAACTCCAGAGATTCCTGCTGATGAGATATTTGATCAATAAATTAATGTAACTGGTAAAGAAACAGTAATACCAAGTAGCTCCAAAATAAACTTGAAAGAAACCACTAGCTCATTACTTACCAAAAAGCCTCCACCTAGAATGCCATGAAGGCACTCCACGTATTTGCCGAGATGATGCTCTGAAGCAAATCTTGTTTCGCCATTGGGAAAATAAAGTAAAATGTTGGCCACGATGCTGAGCAAGGCAAGGATGAGCAACTTAAAACCAACACATCTAGCACACCTTCCAAAACACATGTCCTCAGCTTTACAAATCCTTCTTTCACTAGTCCAATACAACCTCTCTCATACCTCTCCACACCTAAAAGAAGATCAGCCTCTATTCTCACCTCCTTAAATACTCAGGTTACCTAGCTACCTGGATGACGTTTACACCTCTTCATAACTACCATTCCCAATTGCAGAATGAAGGAACAGGGATGGCAGAACGCCACCACCCCTTTTAAATGCAATAATTGTTGTCAAGCCAAATGCAGTCAAGGAAATATTGATTACTAGGTAATTTCGCTCTAATATACGATGCTTGGAATGATCACCAGTGAACATGATTAAACGTGAACAACAGGCTTAAACCACAACACAAGTTCTGTTAGGAACTGAAGGAAAAAGGTTTTGTTTTCTTTGTTAGAAGCAGCTTTGACTTTTAGGTTTATAGACTGATTCAGAACAACCTGAAGCCAGAGAAAGACTCAGCTGACTTCAACAGTATTGAGTCAGAGTTTTGGGTATAAATAGAATAAGGTCTACACCAATGAGGAGTATGTAGAGCAGCCTCTCCCCTTGCTATCCTGTTGACGGAATAAAAACAAACCTCATCAGGAGGTTGGAAAACAAATAAAATGGACAGGTAGGCTTCTAAGGACTGTCCTTGTTCTTGTCATTATAAGACAAGCTGAATTTATATTAACAGCCATTTGTTAAAGCTAAACCAAGCAAACACTGGTGAAAAAATACTGCTTCAAGAAGGGGATTATAAAACACAGTCCTTGCACTGAAATTTCATGTATAGAACACAAAAAAGAAAAACCCCAGAGAAACGTATTATATCAGGGGTTTCCAAACTGTGTTACATGTACCAGTAACATTAATTTGCATAGTCAATGGAGATACAAAGTGACCTGGAAAAATTAAGAACTAGCCTTTTCTCTTTTCCCTCATGCAAATTTTGCTAAAATAGCCAAAAGCTTCCTTCTTCACATACATACAGCTCAACACAGAGGCATGAGCTGCCATGCCCACTACTATCACATGATAGAAGATAACTAAGGAACGCACAGGCCTAGACTAGATTTGGGAGGTGCTGCTGCTGCCATCATCATTATACAATGTAATTTTCATTGCAAAAACAGTAGCTAGACAAACTGAGTTTGGGAATGTACAGGATATTAGAAGGCTGTAGTGAGACTTTTTTAATTATTTAAGGAGAAAAATACTTATTCAGGTTTTTTGGCTTGGAGGGTGTGTGTATATATTTTTTTTTTTTAAAACAGCTAAATAACACTGTAAACAGAAGTCCAAATCAAATCCATGGTATTCTTGCAAGTGATGTGAGCAACACTTAAGCTGAGAGAGAGAGAGAACGCGCGTGCAAGCAGGCAAAAAGAAAGGTGGCGGGAAGAGAGCAGTCTTGTGCAGATGTGGTTTTGTGATGTAACTTCTCCGGGTATTGTAGCTGTTGACCTTGGAGACTTCCTTCATTATGAGAAATATCCTCCAATTGTAGAAACATAGGCTTACCATTATTGTGCACTTCACCTCTGAGGACTAAAACAAGCATAAACATCATCCTGCAAGTTTCCTCTGCAGAAGGAGATGGCTGCTCAACTAAAAACTCCCTTTATTGTGTCATGCTAAAAACCCCAAACCACTCCCCCACCAAAAACACCACCCAACACCCTCCGCCCCACCAACCCCCACGCCGTATGTATGGCCACTGGAAAGTAGATTTAAACTCTGCTCTATTTATAACCTGTATAATTGTTTTCTAAACACTTGATTTGAAATAAAATTTCACATAATCAAGAACTTCCTGTATTTAAAAATCAATTCTGTACGTTATCAAGCATGCGGGACATTGGTAGTAACTGCAGACTGTAATGCCCATACAATGTTAAAATCTCCCCCCCCCCCCCCAATACAATAGTACTTCAGATCACTCTCCTATATAATCATATAGGTTACAAAAATCTTGAGCTTGTTTACTTCTCATGCCTGTTTGCTTCATAAATCCTAATTTTACTGCTTGGCAAAGTGAGCAGTGCTGGATTTTTGGAGTGCATCGTGGGCATGTCGAGTTTTAAATGATGAAACTGACCTACACGCAAGCAGTAGCCAAACATGAGCTTCTCATCAACCCGAGGAACAGCAGGGCCCAAACAGCAGCTTGTGACATGCTCCAGCACCGTGAGATGGCAGAGTTTACACTAGCGTAAACAAAACAAGAATTAGGTTTTGAGTCTTTTATACAAGAACCACAGTGTTTGCACTTAAAGTGGTAAGATAATTTCTTACTCACTCACAGGTGCTTCCCCATGGCCCATGGGAAACTCCACTATTTCTCTCTCACAGGACTATTCCTGTAGCTCTGATGCCTGTCCGGGACAAAGAACACATATTAAAAGGCAATCAATCACCCAGTGTTACTAGAGGCAATAAAAGTCTAATTCTAGGCTAAAGTCTAACTTTAGACTGTAGGTCTAGTCCTCAGCTCCGGCTGAGAAGTGCTTACTGCAGTGTGGTACAGGAAGGACAAGACAATCAAAGGGGCAGTGAAGCAATTTTGATAGCACACTCTAAGGTCCAGCAGGTGGGACCACTGTGAAAGACTTCCATAACCTCTCCTGGCAGAAGGGGGCTGGTTTATAAACAATTACAGCAACTGGCTTGTACCCCCAAATCATCAATTCTGCAGGATAAAATTTGTCAGCAGAACAGTGCTACATGGAGCAGGACACTGACCCTTCACACCAGAGAAGTGGCTAAAATTAGGTGCCTTGTCCACTTACTGAGGTATCTAATACCAAACCTAATTTCACGTGAGGTCCAAGGATCCAGCAGCCCCTCTATAAAAGAAAAATCCCCACCTCAATAGTCATTGTTGCTTTGGCTCTTCTATTGCAGCAGGAGGACAGAAGCCTGCTTCTTTCACAAAATAAAGATGTTAGAAAGAGACTAGTGTTTCCTGATGCCAAAAAGTGGGATCTCTCATAAATAGTAGAAGAGGTCTCTACATTCAAGCTCTGAGCAGCTGAGCATTCTCCAGCTTTCTGTACCTGCTCCTCAACCAGTACAACAGGAGTAACAGAAATTACTTTCTCCAGCTCAGCGGTGTATTGGAAACCCTTGCTATATTTTTGGACAAGTCCTAAGTTTACCTGTTGTAAAGAGGAGCAGTTTATCAGAGACTGTCAAAGTTACCACAACTTAAAAAGTTACCAAATACTTGGGGGGGGGGTAGGGCATACAACAAA